AGGGCTTCGGCCTCACACAGACCTTTGAATCGGGCACTGCCCCTTCCTGTTGTTGTGTGACCTTGGGCAAGTCTCTTGATCTCTCCATGCTTCACTTTCCTCATTTGTATATGGTGAACAGTGCATGGCACTCAGCAGGAATGTGGCAAATGATAGCCATTAATGATGATTATTGTTGTCACTCCTGAAAGCTGGCAAGATCAGATGGTCCGTAGAAGCCAGGGCTGGGTTTCCATTTTCCTTCCCTTTTAATTTAGTTGTCGTCTCCATTTTGTCCTCCTGGGGTCTTTCCTGTCACCAGTCTATGGGTCTGCCTGCCTCTCTCCCTCCAGGGCTGTTGCTGACTCTCACTGGGTGTGAGCTGTCTGTGCCTCATGCACAGTCAATAAAGATAAATTACAAAATCATTTGTTTTATTTGTTCTTGTTACCTTGAGGGCTGTCTGAAATTGCCTTTTTTTTGAAAGCCACATTTGCATATCTCTATGTTGGAGTCAAAGGCTGCAGCTGTGGTTTCACTGCAATTTAAATATTAATAAAACTCCCTAAACCTCTAGCTGTTTTTTAAAGCAGTCTGGTCCTTCTCCTCCTAGGTTGCTAATATAATTTAATCTTTGTCTTTTGCTTTGTATGGTAGTCCCCCCTTATCCGTGAGGGATATGTTCCGAGACCCCCAGTGGATGCCTGAACTCTACATATACTATGTTTTTTCCTATACATACATACCTACGATAAAGTAAATTTTTAATTTATAAATTAAATAGATTGGGCAAAGAGATTAACAATAACTAACAATAAAACAGAACAATTATAACAATACCCAGGAATGGCGTGCAATTTAAAACTTATGAATTGTTTATTTCTGGAATTTTCCATTTAATATTTTCAGACCAACATTGACCTCTGGTAACCGAAAATGTGGAAAGCAAAACTACGGATACAGAGAGGGGACTACTACTGTCTTTGCTTAAAGAGCCTTTCTGGAGTTAACCAAAGCCACCTGCTGCAACTTTGTAGATAAGAACCAGCCCACAAACCTTATTTATCCTCAACAGGCCCAAGATTCACTGCTCCTGGAGATAAAATAGACCACAGATAACATTTTCTACCAATTAGCAGCCCTTACACTAAGGCAGCGGTTCTTAAACTTGAGCCTGTTGCAGAATCACAGGTTGCTGGCCCCCATCCCCAGAGTTTGATTCAGTAGGGCTGGTGAGGCCCTGGAATCTGCATGTCTAACAAATCCCTACGTGATGCTATTGCCCTCTCACGCCCCCATCAGGGGACCACGCTTTGAAAACCTCTGCACTAAACTGCATGTTAAACTGCCATATATCATTTTGGGTCCTTGAAACTAGGTCTCCAAAGTTTCCCAGCTACTGTAGCACGGTGGTGGTGGTGGTGGTGGGGACAGGGTAATCTCTTCAGATCTTGATTCCTTCCAACCCCTCAAACCATTGCTTAGATTTTCCTGGTCATCCATTCAGGATCATCTCCCTCTTATCTCCCCACTCTCCATGGGAGCTGTTTCCAGTTCCTAATTTCCTATTTGCCCAGATTCGTTTCTTTAATTTTCTCCTTGTTATGGGCAGATTTACAGGCTGTTCGAGGAAGCTAGGCGTCACTGAAGTACAGTGAAGGGGCCTCTGGCTCAGCCATTTTCCAGCCGTTGATAAGCGAGCTCCCACATTCCCCAGGCAGCAGGCCCGTTTTCTCTCTCTCTCTCTTTCCTTGGCTAGATCTGCAGTTCTCCCTCACCCTGCCACTCTCTCTGTGCCGTCTGCTTCTGGGGCTGACCTTATCTGCTCCTCGCAGCCTTCACAGGATACATTCTGGGCAGCTTGGCTCCTTCCGTTCCAACTATCCCAACACTGATTCCTTTCTTTTTCTCCTGTATGTTTTTCAGCCGATACTTTGTTAATGATTTTGGTTGCATTTTTTAGGAGAGAGATAATCTGCTCAAGCTCTTCTCTAGGCCCTCTTCCTGTGCCTGCATAATCCTTCTCCTTCCTTTCCAGCTTCTTTGCAGATGTTCGTTTTGCAAAATGAGATAAAAGTAATACAGGAACTAGTTGCCAAGTGCTGCTGTGCCCAGAGAGGGGTAGAGGTTGTGGGGTGGAAAAGTGGGAGGACATCTTAAAGTCAAAGAAACAAGTATATTTACTCTGACATCAGATAGGGCTCTTAAACTGGGGCAGGCATCCTGAAGCCAAGGCCAGAACTTGACTTCCTGAAAAGGTTATGCAGAGCTCGAGAGAAGTATTTGTTGGGAGACCTAGGGAGACAATTACAGAAAACCTAACATGTTTTAGTCATCTCTGCTTTCACCCAGCATTCCTGAAAAGGCAGGCTGTACTAGATAGATGTTGCTTTTTCTATTAACCTATCAGTGATGGGGGCAGCAGGCCAAGTGCTGGCTCACCCCCAGGGCCCAGAAGGCCATGACTGGTCACTGGAAATGAGACACTGTGGGACTGAAGGCTGGGCTGACAGCACTTCTGCTTGCTTCCCACTTGTCTTTACCGCCAGCTCTGAGACCCATCAACTCTCTGGCAGGTAGACAGGGAGCTGGCATGGGCCCTGGAGAGGTCAAGCTCTAGGTGAGGCTGAACTGCAAGGCTTTGACAACTGAAAGGTTCACGATTATATGCTAGGAGGCTGGAGAGAAGTGGAAATAGTAGCCATGACTCAATCCCACAAGAACCTCTGCCTGACGTGAGGCTGCTTTTACTGTCTCCCACCACGGCCCACAGAGGAAGAGAGTGCCGGTTCCCCTCACAACCCACTCCTCTCCCAAAATTCCCTTAAGTTTGAACTGTTGCCTTCTGTCCTGGGGTCAGTGACTGATGTAAGTAGAAAGCTGATGATGGGGTGGAAAGGTAGGGTCAGATCTCCATGCACTCATTTACTAGCTGTGCAAACTCTGACCAACATCTTACGAACAAGGAACTTGAGCCTCAGTTCTCATTTTTCAAATGAGGTAACAAATACCCACTGCATAGGGCTGTGCTGAAGTCAGAGATAAAATGTAATGGCAGTTAGCTCCATTTTCTCTACTCTCCCCTCGCCTTCCCCCAATATAGCAGTACTGCATCGTGTGATGACTTCATTTTCTTTGCCTCAAGGAGTATTCCAATCTCTAAACAGTGTGAGGACCAGGAAAAATGGTACAGAATGTCACTGTGGATTAAGCATGTTAAATAGGAGTGGTAGGCAGAATTCTAAAGATGTCCTCCCTCGACTGCTGTCTCCTGGTTATTCAATCCAACGCTAATCTACGTGCTGCTATGAAGGGTATTTGCAGCTCCAATTAAGGCAATGGACCTTAAGATAGCGAGATCACCCTGGATTACCTGCTTGATGTCATCTAGTCACTTTAGCCCTTAAAAACAGAGAAATGTCTTTGGCAGGAGTTGGAAAGATGCAGCAGTAAGAGGGATTCAGTGTGAGAAAAACTTGACCAGCCATTGCTGGCTCTGAAGATGGAGGTAGGAGGCCAGGAGCTAGGAATGCGGGCAGTCTCTAGAAGCTGAGAGTGACCCTTGGCCAACAGCCAGAAAGGAAACAGGGATCTCAGTCCTGCAACTGCAAGGAACAATTCAGCCAACACCCTCAATGAGCTTGGAAGCAGATTCATCCCCAGAGCCTTTAGAAAAGAACACAGCCCTGCCAACCCCTTGACTTTGGCCTCATGAAACCTGAACAAAGAAACCAGTTGAGTCACCTCAGACTTCTGACCTACAGAACTATGAAATAATAAACAGATATTGTTGTAAGCCACTAAATTTGTGACAATTTGTTACAGCAGCAATAGGAAACACAAAAGGTATTTAAGCTGCTTCAATAATCCTAGGAGGTAGATAATATTATTATCCCCATTTTTCAGATGAGGAGGCTAAAGCACAGTGAAAAGGCTCAGAGAAAGTTTGCTGGTACAAATCTCAAGAGCAGTCATTCTTGGTGGAAGTGTTTGCTACCAAGTTTATTTGCAGTGTTAACAGCACAACATTTACAAAACATATTTTGTACAATCAAGTCTGCACTGCCCTTACACACTGGGGGGTAGGGAAGACCTAGTCCTTCCAACAGCTATAAACAGTTCTGGAAAATGAGTTTATGAAAAACACTTTCTCTTCCTTCAGCAAGCAAAATTATTCATGAAGCGGTACGGTTCAGCAATAGGGAGTAAAGGGAAAAAAATTACCTCAAAGAAAGCAACAGCTCCTTTCCTGGTGGGATCCATCATTTTACAGACATGAAATATTCATACCAGAGATCTTATATTTTAAGAGGAATGGGTTACATACCAGAGCTACAACAATAAACATTTTATTTATTACTAATGAGGAATTTAGAAGACTCTCTCTGCACACCAGTTTTTTGAATATATTCTGCTGTTTCAGAGCACATTTTTTAGACATCCAGCAACTATAGCCCCGACTTCTGGAGATCTCTTCTAATTAACCTCAAGTTTCATGTTCACAACCATTACCTGCCTCTGAATTTTCTCCCTAGTGCTCCACTCCAACATTTGAGAGTTGCCAAGGACTGTTCTAAGTCACATAACAGATCCCAAGCACTCTCCTTCCATAGAAGGGTCTGACTCTCGGCCTTTGTGAACATAGGGCTTTAGAGAAACAAAATTAGGGAAACCAGCTATTCTCCTGAGGCCAAGCCACTCTATGCCAACAGCCCAAGTAGGAGGAATAGCGCTAATAAATAATGAATCAGCATCTTGCTCAACTGGTAGGGTTTCAATGGTTTTAAAATCTTCTCAGGTAAAAACGTACTACAATTTTGTGCTCTTGGTAGATTTCAAAGGGAGATTTGAAGCAAAAAATCTTTAAGGGACCCTCGCGTAGCCAGAAGTTCTTTTCAGACTGATATACATGAAATATTTGGCAACCAGAACTACGGAAGGACTGAAGAGTGAGAGGAGCTTCCAGGGCCTGGAAGCTCATTCTTAGGGCCCCATGGCCCGATACGCGTGGCTGGCTGCAATCAGCAGTGGGGGATCTGAGGTATCAGGTAGGTGTCCAGCTCCTGGCACTGGTACAGTGCTACACTGTCTAACACCCACTCTCGGGTCACCACAGGTGCTTCACACATCTGCCCAATTGCTGGGGACAGAGAACACAAGCAGAGATTAGTACCAATTCACATTCTCCCAGACCAAACTCTAATCAATCTACTCTGGGGACCTGGTTGTGTGAGGTCTTAGGGTTAAGCAGGTAGGAGCCAAACTGCTTCTCTTAAGCAATGCTTCACAACATGGAGCCTCAATTAGAAGCCTGAGGAGTGACTGCTGGTAAAAGCCTCGTAGCCTCTGGCAACTGTATTAACATGAGTTTCAATCTCTTAAAGGAAAAGCCACCAGAGAGCACAAAATAGCACTGTAATTTAATGATGTGGAAAAACATTTGCAATATCTTAAGTGAAAAATCAAAACTGTAAATATGATCACATTTGTGTAAAATGCACATGTCAACATGTATATACACATGCTTGAAAGAATTTTCCAGTGATCATCTCCAAGTGGTGGGATTACTGGGATTATTTTATTGTTTTTGTGCTGGTTTACATTTTCTGTGATGAACATTCATATTTAACCCCTCCCATTGGAAACAGTTCATGTATTACTTCTACAGTACAAAACAAAAAACAAAAATTTTAAAAAGACATATTTTTAGCCAATCAACAGATACCTAAAATGTGCTAAGAACTATGCTACTCAAGCACCAAGAAATGAGTGGTGAACCAAACCCATCCAATAGGACTCCATATGACACAGGCGTACACAGGCACCTTACCATGAAAGCCATCGTCCTCTGTCCAGGCATCTGGCTGCACGACCACAACTGGGTGAACACCCTGCACCCCAGGAAGGAAAGAGCATTGAGGGTGTTAGAGCAAATTTTTGCAACAGTCACTTCACCATTTCTTGATGCTTTATTGAAGCAGAGTACTTTGGGGACAGCCACAGAAAGGAGGGGAAGGGCACATGGCAAAAAGGATCAGGGGAAAGAGCTTTCCCTCAGTATATCAAATACTTATGGCCGGGTGCAGTGGCTCATGCCTGTAATTCTAGCACTCTGGGAGGCCGAGGTGGGAGGATTGCTTGAGGTCAGGGGTTCGAGACTAGCCTGAGCAAGAGCGAGATCTCTGTCTCTACTAAAAATGGAAAAATTAGCCAAGCGTGGTGGTGTGTGCCTATAGTCCCAGCTACTCCGGAGGCTGAGGCAGGAGGGTCTCTAGAGCCCAGGAGTTTGAGGTTGCTGTGAGCTAGGCTGATGCCATGGCATGGCACTCTAATCTGGGCAACAGAGGAAGACTCTGTCTCAAAACAAAAACAAAAACAAAAACACAAAAAAAAACAAAAACAAAAACCAACAAACAGGCAAAAAACCTTGTAGTTCCCAAGTCCTTACTCATCTCTTACAGATGGAGGCACGTGGTCAGAGAAGGCTTCTGAGGCTACATTAGGGAGGGGCCATGGGGACTGATGGGTACCAGCCTTACTCGGTCACAGGAAAGAATATTGTGTCCTCCCTTTCTGACTGAGCACCAAACACTTACTGTGCCAACGGTGAATGATGACAGCTCCTTCACCACAGTAGCCCCACACAGCTGCACCATCCACTCCAGTTGATCTAAACAAGACATTTAGACCTAAAATCACCACGGTATTCTGCATACTTAACCTGTGCCCTCTACCCCCTACTCCTCTGGATGATAGCTAACAAGACTTCTCGGTGGGAGAGTCTCTGTCTCTCTGCTCCAAAGGACTGAAAAGCCTTAAATTAGAATCTGTATCAGGGATGTGGATTCTTAGTCAATTTGCCACTGATGTGCTGCCTACTCTGGTTATCAGTTTCCATATGGCCACTTGGTAGATAAGGTTTGATAGTTTCTCAAATAAAATGCTTAAAAAAAAATCCAAGACCTAATTTCTATTAATTTGCTAAATTGCTGGCTAAGACACTGTGTGCAAAAACATCCACCTTCTTTCTCTCTCTTCCTGCATCCTAATTCTGTGTTGGTAATTGATAATCACGGCCACTGAGAGCACCATCCTTGCTGGTAATTACTGTAAATGTCAAGAGATGGGAAGATAATCCATCTAGTCAAAAAAATACATGTCATTCTGGTCAGAGACTCAGTGGGGAAAGGCTACATGCTGAGCTGCAATCGACATACTCAAGGGAATAGAAATCAGAAGATAGGAGGCTCAGGTAGGAGGATCGGTTGAGGCTAGGAGTTCAAGATAAGCCTGGGCAACACAGCAAGACTTTGTCTCTGCAAAAAACTAAAAAAATGAGCTGGGCATGGTGGTGTGCGCATGTAGTCTTGCCTACTTGGGAGGCTGAGCCAGGAGGATTGCTTCAGTCTGGGAGGTGGAGGTTATAGGGTGCTGTGATTGTGTTAC